TAGCAAGATAATCTTGAGTCTTTTGCATATTCATTACTGTCTCTTCGTTAATTGCTGCCTGGTCGCTGAACAATCGATTTATGATAATAGTTACTAATGATTTTGTAGGTATAATAACCAGGTCATGAAGCAACAAGTATTAATTGTTTACGTTTTCATTCGGATTGGATTGACTACATTCTCTTCGGGGTCTACGTTTTTGCACAGCCAGTCAAACAACGTCTGAATTTCAGGTATTTCAAAGACCCACAAAAGCTGTTCGGGACGTAAGCTTGATGCATTGGGGTATCCTATTTTTGCTAAAAACGTAATGAAGGATGTTGCTGATGCGGTGCGCGAGTTGCTTCTGTCGTCGACCAACATGCTAATACTATTGTGCTACGATTGTTGATATTAATGTTAATATAAATTACGCGTTTGTGTAAACGTGTCTTGCAACTAGCCATAACAGGCGCAGCATTATGTGCAATGTGCAGTTTACAAGTTATACCCGTGAAATTCTACTTCTTGTCACTTAGCAAACTTTCAGGTTAACGATAATAAAACTGTGGAACGAATGTCTCCGTTAAAGTGTATTCAGAATTCAACTTCTGATCCAAAAACTGAAAAAAAAATAGTTATTGATGAAGAGACTAAAAACTGAATCAAGTTTCAATTCTCCTCCTCGTCACTTGGTGCGTGGGTATTAATATTAAATGATAACGTCGAAATGAAGTGACCAATGTAATGATAGCGTTGAAACAGATCGATAATGGAAAGAAGTGGCAGTTCGATTAAATATATATGAAGCGCGACTTTCAGGTAGTTCTTTATTCCCAGGAATATTCTCGTGATATTACAATTGTTATTTGCTTAAGAAGAGACGTGCGCTTGATTACCCACCTATAGTTTTAACTTAATTAAAGTAGGAGAAGCCACAGCTTCATTTGAAAATAGCTAAATCTCAAGCATAACGATCGATTGCACTGCTGACTCGATATTAAAACTTGAATGTTTATAATTTTTATTTATTTGTTCTAAGACTTACATTACAATTTTATTTAGTTTCTTCATCAACTATTTCCCATCTTTCTTGCATACGACAAATTGTTTCAACTCTCCATCTAGTCTATCTTCTCAATGACATTTGACACAGTCCGATGTGGTCCTACATATCTATTACTGGTCGATGTATCGTCACAGAGCTGAGAGTGTTCGCAGATTGCAAAATGAACGCAATGGTCGATGTACCGCCACGGAGTTGAAAGTGTTGCGCGGTTTGCAATGGTCGATATATATCCGGATAAGTTGCAAAACGAGAATTATTTAGACGGGGACGTTCATTTATTCGTATAGCGTCCCGAGACTTTCTTTGGCTTAGCCCGCCAAGCCCCCCATACCATTCTGCGAGTTTAGTCAATGCAATGATGTTCTCTTCATTTTAATTGAACGCAGATTCTTCTTGATAGATTTAGAAAATCCTGTGTGCCTGCAGACCTTAATCTTTTAATTAAAAAAAAAAAGAATAGTTGAGAATATGGTAAGTTTGAAGTATAAATATGAGAAATAATTTACCTTCAGTTCGGGCTCCTTTATTCCGATAACCTGCAATGAGCAGGTTTTTTTTTCTCACTGGGTCATTTGATGAAAGATAAACCGATTTCATAACAAAAAACCCACAACTCCAGCTGAATATTCAGACTGTTCAAGGGTAGTTTTTCTTCAACGAAATAATGCTTTAAGATTTAAATCTCTAAAGCCATTCATAATTCCTCTGCGTCTGAACTATAAATAGCTTCTCCAGAGTGAAAGGGGAGCTCAGAAGAAAGAAGCCAAGGAGACTCAACAGTCCGTAGCGTGTTCGTCTTGGGTGGTTTTTTTTTCACGATCGGCTGACGTCAATAAGCGAGTCACATGGTAATAAATGGTGACACAAGATATACGATACAAATGGGTAATAGTAATATTATTCTTATTCCTACTATTAGACAAACCCAAAGACACTATAATACACACATGGATTTCGAAGCAAATTTCACAGACGATATCTTTTACGATGCAACTGATGGTGCAGATCAAGACATGGATATTTGGGAAAAAGTTGTCTGTGACGATTTTTCTTCAATATTGCCAAATGATAACGAGAACGATAATGAAATAAATATAGACTGGAGTGGCGTAATCTTTGACGATTTAGACGAGTTGAT